GGATGCCTCCATTGAAGACTTCTTCATTCTTTGTTCTTCCATGGTGTGCTGCATGAAGTTTCTTCTCCCTTGGTGTGCTGTGGTAGTTGGGAGACTTGCATGGAACTTTCATGGTAGTGAAAGAAACTGACGATCTTGGCTTAGATGGAAACACTCCTGGGGAACTGAATTTATCGATAGTAAAAGTACCCGAACTTAGGCAATCAACACAAATTCCTTTACTCAATTACAGAGATCGACGATTTCAATCTTTGGCAGAGTTGATCAGACACGAAGGGAGGAGTTCTGCGACGCCCTTCTACTCTTTGATATTAGAAATTAGGATTAGTGCTGGTTTATTATTAATATTTAATTACAAAATTAGTTTGATAAAATAAGGTAATTTAGGCAAAATAAATTTTTACAGATTCATTGACTCTTTTAATATAGTATAAATAAATAGATATAGATATAGATAGATAAATAGATAGATAGATAGATAGATAATTTTATTGTTATATTAGTAACTTATATCTCATCTTATTATCTAACATAACTTATATCTCATCTTATTATCTAACATAACTATATCAATATTGTTTCAAGTACATAGCACGAATTTTGCGCTATTAATATAATAATAAAATATAAATTAAAATCACGTGAAAATATGAATAATGTGTCATGTGCTAGTCTTACAAGAATCCAAAATATGCCATTATGAATACTTTGTATTTCCATTAGACCGTAAGTATTTTTGTTCTTTATAATTAGTTTATATACAGTATTTTTTTTTTCATGCAACCAAACTTGTTGTCCATTGCAAATGGAGCTAGAAAAGCTATTGTTAACAATTCTCCTGACATAGTGCTAATGATGGAATAAATCAAAACGACTCAATTAAATTCTAGTTTTTCTTCTATTAGTGAAATTTCTAGAAAAAAAATATATCAAACGACGCAATGCACCTTGGGTCGCCACAGAAACAGTCTCCTTGTATAATTACAAGAGTAAGATCTGCGT